AATACGTAAATCTATGCATATCGTGTATTCACTCACTTACTGGCTTTTACTGGGGAATAACCAAAGACAAAATACTTTCTTGTTCAATTGTTATTATATTTATGTAGTAATATAAGGTAAAACTTTAACAACAAACTTTATGGAAATTGAGGCAATAGATAGCAAGGAGAAGTTTTACGTAAAAAAATATAACAATAAAAACATAATGGCCAGTCTTTGTAAGAAGTTATCTCTACGATCCAGTCAACCTCTACAATACATAATGTGATGCCTTAATTGATATGTCATTGGAGGCCTAAAAGCTGGGTTAAAATGCAATGTTAGAGAATCTCCAAATAACAGGAATTATTAAATTCCGTATTTTCTGTGTACGTTTGCAGGAAAATTCCTAACAAGACAACCGAGTTTTCATTATTTGAGTTTTTACAGGGCATTCATTCACTGAAAATGGCTCTTCCTCGTCTAAATGAATGTTTTGGGAAAAAAAAAAACTTGATTAAATATCTTCTTAACAACACAGGTGTTTGAGTATAACAATGGGTGTCACAATGGAAACAAAGTGAGGACAAAATTACATAAAATATATTTAAGAAACAGGTTAACCCGCTGGAAGCGAAGTATTAGTATTCTAACCATTCTACACAAAGAAATTGGATATACAATGGCAAGACTTCTTCCATGTGACTACAAAAGACATAGATGTAGACTAAGAAATCGTTCCTAAAGGTATAATATGTCACTAGTTCACAAGATTGGGAAGGAATGAAATCGACTTTTAGGAAATAATGGTACAGCTGGATAAAACGACTGGGAATTAAAATCAGATTCAGTTTACAATATATGACAAGTACAATACAAGCCCATCCAGAAATGCTCCACACTGAACTACACCATTATAATCATCATTATTCCTTCGTGTGTTATTCGACGTATGAAGAATCATATCCGGTAGAATGTCCTTCAAGGAACAGAAGGTCTAAGTTATAAACAGGCAGCAATATATCAGGGCTACTGTTGACTTCCACGTGCTTTAAAAAGGAGGAATATGATAAATGTACGTCTTACTGAAGAGCCAATAAAAATAAATAAAAAAAGATTCACGCACTTCAAAGACTTCATAGAAATATACTTTTGCGTTGAATATAGAAGATTTAATTAAATATTCTCTTGCCAAAATTGTTGTTTTCAGGGCAATATATTATTTCACGATTTAACTCTATCTTACAGTAATCAAATATCAACCAAT